CTTGTCTCTTCTTCCACATCCCCCCACCCCCCCAACACCTATCCAAGTGCCGGAGTTAAACAAGTCCATACATGGTTACTTTTTTTTTTTTTTTTTTTTTTTTTTTTTTTTTTTTTTTTTTTTTTTTTTTTTTTTTTTTTTTTTTTTTTTTTTTTTTTTTTTTTTTTTTTTTTTTTTTTTTTTTTTTTTTTTTTTTTTTAATCTGTGTAATTCATCTTTCTCCTCTACATCACTTTAAGGGCTTGTTTCCCCCCCTTGTGCAACAGCTGTGGTTCGGTTTTATAAGCAGTCCCTGATGTTTGTTTTCTTTAAGCTTTGCAGCAGCACAGGCGCTGCTGAAGTCTAGTTCCACTGTGTCAGTCCAGCAGTAAATTACCTTCATGCCTTTCGCTTCAGAAATACACATTTTAGACTGTGGTGTAGTTATGATAAGCTAATTAGTGTTTCGATGATCTGGACTTTCCAAAGGGGAACTGAGGACACAATAGGTGACAGTCCAGTCAGAGGGGAATTTGAACTATTTGAGGTTCTGCCTTTTACAGTAATTTAATTAGACAGATTGGATTTCATCGCAGTGATGATTTCTAAGGATTTAATTCATAAAATGTGCCAGTAGCTATTGCTGCATCTGGAGCAGATTACATTGTCTGGGTGAAGCTGTTAACCCACAGCTGCCTGCCCTGGCCTTAGCAGGTGCCCTGAAGGAGGACTGGCAGCATCTCACCAGCCAACTTCACAACTATTTTTTTCCCCCCCGTTGATGTTTTAGTGCAGCTGCCACTCAAAAAAAAAAAAAAAAAGCGTGGATGTTCCCTCACCAAGCATTGAGCATTTTTCTTAACAATAACTAGAAGAAACTAAGAAATTAGCCTGGTACATTTCCTCAATCCTATGTAATTTTGGACAATAGGCAGGGCACCTACATGCCTGTGTACCTGTGTAATTTCCAAATTCTTTGGTTGCACGAGACAAGTAGAGTTCTAAAGCAATCATTTAATTAAATTAAAAAGAAGCAATGTGAACTCCCAAGCCTAGGAGCCATTTACTTAAACTGCTTGATTTCTATGCAAAATCCCCAGTCTTATTAGGAAAATTCATATATTAGTGCAAGAAATGCACATGATGCTTTGCATTTTGATGGCTCAAAAATATAGCTGCTAACAGGTTTCTCACTGGCAGGGAGGCTACACTTAGGGCAGCTGGGTGCTACTGAGGGTGTGCAGGAGGGCACATGGTTTCAAGAGGCAGCCTGATACATTCATGATTAACCTCAGTTCTGAGCGGGGTTTGTTGCCTCTGGCAGTAAATAGTAGATGAAATTTCAGAGGAAAATCAGGCCTATCATGCACTTAACAAACTGAGCAGTTCTGTATATATTGCACAATTCATTCCTTCTTGCAAGTGGTCAGGTAAACTTGGGAGCATAGAAAGCTGGCTTTCTTAGCCAGGATTTTATTTATTTTTTTTAATTCTTTACTTTGCTGGAAGACCTGCTCCATATAACTGAAGAGCCAGTGAGATGTTCTTTCCTGACCGCATAAACTCTGTCAGGAATTAATTGCTCCTAAGGCAGCATGATGGCAAATAGTGATCCCTTTTTTGAAACCCAAAAGTAATTGGTGGGATTATGGATGTTGATGTTTTAACTTTGGTCGTGCTGTTCTTTCTGGAAATCCTGCATTTCCCTCTAGTTGCTCTATATAATTATTTTGCCTCCAAATGTTCTACAGTAGCACTTTTAGATGTTTCATTAGTTTGCTGCCTTTTAAAGCCAGCTTCATAAAAGCAAATGTTAGTGATTGAAGATGCTTTCTTTACCGCTTAAATATCTCCCATTTGTGTGCAAGCTGTATTTGTGAGATTTGCCTCAGGTTATGCTAAGTGTATCTTGTAGTTATAAGAAAATTACAACGATGATGAAAGACAAAAAAAAAAAATCACTCTGAGTGGCTTCTCGAAAGGAACTTCAAGTTTTAGCAAGAGACTGTTTTGACAGACAAGTTGGTGTTTTCACTAAATCAGCAGTTTGTTTGCTTGAAAATAACCGCCCTGGGTTTTAGTTCTGCATGTATCCTCTTTTTTTTCTGTAAATCAATATATTGTTCTTCGTGGATGACTGACTCATACGTGCAAACAGAAGGATGAGTATTGGCTTTACTTAGAGTAGTTTATACATCTGTAGAAGAATAAAAAACTTACTTATTTGTGTGATATGGGCACAAGGAGTAGGGAAGGAGTTGAGGGTTACATGTTGAGTGATCACAGGGGATTACTGGGTAAGTAATTAGAAAGCTCATCCTGCAATAAATACCAGCAGATGCCCGGAGTTGGTTGTGTCCCTGTGACCTTGTGGAAGTGCTGCAAAATGAGCAGCGGAGATCCTGCATTTCCCACCAAACTGGCTGGGGGAAGTTGGACAAGATGGTCTTATTTTACTTATTTTCTGCGTAGTCTGGGTTGGGGAAGTATCACTGGCTTTGTAACCAGATGGAACTGTGACAGATCTCTGTGCCTAAATATTGTGAAATGCTCTATGAGCAGTTTCCAAAATGGAGGTTATTTCTTCCTTTTCCCAGAGATGCAGAGAAAGAACATTAAGAGCGTTATGCTTCTCTTTTTCTTTACATGTTTACTGTTTAAGGACAACAGATAATCTAATGATCTCAAAATATTTGGTAAATGCATTTGGTAAATATAGGCATGTTAAAATTTGAGAGTTTACTGCTGATGTGCATGAATGATGGTTTCTGAATTCCCTGTTGCTGAGTTGTTGCAGCCCTTATTGCTGTTCAAGCAAGAGGCAGCCTGTAAGCATGATTATTTTGCAGGATGATTAAGAATATTAATAAAATATAATCTTATTATTAAGAATATGAAGAAAAATATATCCTATAGGATACTATCATGGGAGCATCTCTGGGGACTCCTGGGACCAGACACTCCTGTGCCCCACTGTGTAATTCTAGTTACAAGGTCTAAACTTGCAACAACTCCCAGGCTTAAAGAATGACGTTGTTGACTGGAGCTCACGGGCTCTGTTTTGTGTGTGTTGTGAACACCATCCTTTTAAAGTTGTGCTAAAGAATGGTTCTGCCCAATTTCTTTGCACTTGAAAATCACTGCAGGCCATAGCCGTGCATTATTAACTAGAGGTTCAATATTTGCATGTATTTCAGATTGCTTGAGTCCAGTGCTCAATATATTATTTATATTTTTTCATGCTTTATCCACGTGTACTTTTTATGGTGATTTTTTTTTTTGGTTAAGCTCCTTTCAGCTGTAGGTTCTTTGTACCAGTGGAGCAGAAACAGTTGGGAATGGAAATTGAAAACAGAGGACTATTTTTATTGAGAAGAAAAAAATCATTAAAAGTAAAAGCAACTATGAGAAAGGTTTAGGTTGATTTCAGAGATGTAACTGATGAAGAGGTTTTGTTGGCTCTTCAAAGATACATGTGAAAAAGCAGGGATTATTTTTATAAGGTGCTTCTGCTCCAGTGAATAGTGAAACAATGATTCTTTGCTGGGGTGAGAAACTTTTTGATGAGTAAATAAAATATCACTTTAGATTGTACATTTTTAATTTTTTCTCTCACCCAGGTACTTATGTTCGTTATTAAAGTGGAATGTGGGGATACACTGGTAAATACTGGTCACTGTTGCAGAGGATTGATTTCAGTGACAGCACATGCTGGGAACTTATTGACTGAAGTTACTTCTGTTACAGGAGTGGCTCTCATTGTTTAGAGTGTGAGAAAATCTGATATCCAGTCATATTTTTAAGGGACACTTGTGTACTGTGGTTTGCTGTGATTTGGGTCAGCTACTATAACGTGCTTTTTATTTTCTGACTTTGAGAATGTCTAGCAGCCGAAATATTCTTATAATGTCATTTGGTGTAACTCCGCTGGACTCAGTGCATCTACATGAATATATATGAGTTGATGATGTGGCCCAGTAAGAGAATGGAAATGGGCAGCTTTGAACTTGTTCAAATCTAAATTTCATCTAAATTAATCTAGATTCGTCCTCCCAGGAGGAGATAACACTTTAATCCTGTGCTAGGATTTGGTTTATTTCTGTTCTTTGCAGAAATTTTACCCCAAGGGTGAGTGGCTCAGAGCGTGCACAGATCAGTGTCTTGTTCTCCAGTTTACTCATTTAATAGCTCGTGAATCAGCCTGCACTGCTCAGCACTCCATTGTGCTGCTGATAATTAATCAGATATGGCTCTAATTCCTGACTTTCAGCAGAACTCAACTGTGGTCATCTGTTCCATCATCTATTATTGACACGTTGTAGGGATATCGGCAGCAGGAAGAGAACTTGCCAGAACCTTCTAAAGAAGATTATAGTGATTTGTCCATCATAAACCCTATTTTATATGGCTTAAATGTGATGGTAACTGCCCTTCTGTGTGTTGCCACACGATGTACCGTGTTGCTGAAGGCTTTCCCAGTTGCACACACTGGGGTGAGAGGTGACTGGCATTTAGAGGGAGACCCTTGCTTGGCCAGGGCTGTTGGTACAAGTGCCCAGGGCAGGGCACACAAGCTCTGTTTGGAGTTTTTTCTCCTGTGTTTGATTTCTCAAGAGAGCTTAGCTGAAAAATCACTTTTTTTTTTTTTCCTGTTATTTTGAGTGGTGTTCTAACGATTTCAAACCTTTAAGTGATTAATACCAGCCAAGATAGTGGCTGCATCAGAAAGTTTTGTTTGAAATCTTAAAAGTTGTACTAGACCTGTTGAATAGGTTTAGGATACACTATATTGGGGATAGTAGGGATAAAACCACTGCTCTTTTGATTATCTTTTTTTAATATATAAGTAGATTTTATAAATGGGAGTGTATATATCTATAAAAACATCTTATGCAATGTGTCTTCATTACATGTTTAATATTAGTACATTTTTGTTTGTTTGCTTGTTTTCTTTTAGTCTTTTTATTGCTTTTGGCTTGATTTTTGAGTTTCCATTATTGGTGTTGTCTGATTATCATTAGGAATTACGTTGAAGTCTTTCCCTGGATTCTCCAGGGTATGAATGAGTAAGAGCTGCAATCAAACCATCCAACACCTTTGTTTCAGGTGGGAAATAGAGTAGTCTATAGAATTAAAAGAAAAACAAAAGCAATCATTCAGCTAAGATGGCAAATGAAAGACCAGCTGTGGAAATGTAAACCACCCTTCACTGGAACAGCGGGGAGCTCACAGAGCCATGGACCAGCCCATGGGAGAGCTCCCAGGCACACACTAATGTTCTGTTCACTGTTCCAAGGCAAAAAGACAATAAAGGTGCATTAACAGAACTGCTGACATGGCAACTAAAACTTCGGTGTTGGTTTTTCTGAATAAACAACCCACAGGTTTTGCACACAGTTGTCACGTATGAGTTTGTTTGGTGTCCACACAGGGACAGTAAAGCAGAGGAGAGAGAGAGGAGGGGGTGCTGTGGGATGTGCTTCCTACAGCTGCCACAACTGTAACCATGAAACTGTTGCTACCTTCCCATGGCTCTGCAGCCAGCAAGTCTCTTCCCCCTGGCATATCTCCCTGAGTATGATGGGGAGAAAGGAGAAATGAGTGCAGTAAAATAAAAGCATTAGGAAAGAATCTTTATATGTATATTTAGTACTAAATGTTGAAGCTACAAACAGCACTTATGCTTCAGAGATTTTTTCTCTATAAAACTTTGCAAACTGCTCACGTGTCACGAGTGGAAACATTAAAATTCATTTCAGGGTGCACTGAATGCTGTTCAGAGGTACACTGCCAGGCTTCAGGGCTGTAAATCCCCTGTAAATGAACTGGTAGAGTTGGCAGCTATAAAACATCAACTTCACATTGTTGTAACCATTATTATTAAATTTTTCGAAGTCAGAGGAGTTAAAAAAAAAAAGGGGGAATTTAAGGACTGGAAACAATAAGAGGTAGGCTCCGAGCTGCTGTGCTTGGTTGTACTATAGATGGAGAGTAAGATTTGGCTGAACAGAGCACAGAAACCAGACTGGATTTGGTCTGTTAACCCAAGACTGCTGAAGTTTGGGATGCAAAGGTCTTCTGCAGGAAGACTCTTAACATCTGGTGGAGAGGCCTGGAGGCCAGGGAAAGTGAGGGGGATAGCGTATGTATTATATATCGGTGTGAGCACTGTAGAGATTTCAAATCTAGGAAAATAAATTGAATTCCGTGTTTTTACCATGCCAGGTGTATTCTGGATCAGTTGTAAAAAGAGCTGTGCAAATGAGCAGCTCCAAGCACAGTGACTAATTTAAACTAATTTCTGCTCCATTTTGGCTGAGGTGGCTGACATTGTAACTAAACTCTGCAAGGATTGTTTGTAAATGCCCCAGCGAGGCTCCTGCCAGCATTGCTCCCTTCCCATTTCCCTGCCCACGGCTTTTTAATGTCCCTGCCTGTAACAGCTGTAGTATCCCCTCCCAGCTGCTCCCTGTCCTTGATCCAGTGGCCCTTGCTCTGCCATCCAGCAAGGAAACTGTCCAGGCAAATGCTGATAATCTGGCTAGAAGTGTTTGCCAGCTGGCCCCCTGCCTGCAGGCAGCGGAATTCAGACCTGTGGGTTTGGGTGTTGAAAGTCGGGTTTTGTCACATGTTGCAAAGGTTCATTGTAAGGAGTTACTGTAAAAGAAAAAAAAAATTAAAATCTGCTTTTGTAGCAGGCCTGCAGGTTCCAAAGTGATTGGCAGGCAGCTGACAGACAGAAAAAAACCTTGTTCTCTGACAAACGCAGGTTAGAAATTTCAAAAAAAAAAAAAAGACAACAAACACAAAAATCTGTCAGTTTTTGGTACCAATGACAATATGAATTTCTAGAAGTACTTTGTAGCCATCTCTGTACATGGGGAAAGAGAATGTGTTGATGTTCTCCTCACTAATAACAAAGAAGGTGTTTCTGAGCAGGGACTCACTGTGTGCTGTGATGATACACTGGCCTGATCTCCTGCTGTGTCACTGATGCTCCACGAATACA